ATGAGTTTACAAGTGAACAAAAAGAGTACTAGCCAAGCTGCTGAAAACAAAAATTCCAGATCGTAGGATATTTTCCCAATTGTATGCACATAGAGTGTGTAAAACGAGTCCTGCTTCTTTGAAGAAAGCTAATATCGACTCCAGTTTGGTTAAAATATCTCATAAGGTAGATTTTTCAACTTGAATATTTAGTCAAAGGACTTTGGTTCTGTTGGCTAAAAGGCTCACATTATTCTAGGGACAATGATGTAAATCTTGTGTAGTTCAGCACCGGTCAACTTTATCAAAGGCTTTAGAGAGTAATGCAATGTTGATTACTATCCAAAGCAGTTACAATATAGTATACAGCAAGGCAGATTTAAGGATTGACATGATTTACACTAATCTAGATTGTTGAGCATCTAAAACCAAGAAATCCTTCAGAAGGATTCGAAAAACAAAACAAAAAATAGACTAGAACAAATTGGGGATTAGGCAACATCGTATACTACAGCTACAGCATTTTTCTCCTTGTTTTGTACAAGCCCATAAGCAGCTGACACATATCACATGTATATATTATTTGTATTCCATCACTTAAGAGGCAGTAAGTTTAAGAGCAATATTTATCTCTTTTAACACAATGTCTGCATATATCAATAGCTCTTGTCTGGCAAAACGTACAATATCACTCAATCATAAACCATCAAAAGAAAGCTTCCATTTTTGGGCCATTAATACACTTGGCAACATTAGTCAAGCGTTGTGGACCTAAGTTTATGTCTGTGTTATGTTTTGACATTTAGCCCTAGAATCCCATTTCAAAGTGTGACTACAGTTTAGGTGCATACATGTGCTTGATTGCATTTCTGCATATACAGTATGAAAAACAAATGCAGCTGGATGAGTATTTGTTTGAATGGCTGTGTGAATGAATGCTTTCACACCTTATGTCTATCTATATAACTATGAACACTTATTAAGCTTATTTTTTATGTAGGAATCCTCCTGCCTGTGACTGTGAAAATATTTATTGTGATATACATTTTCCTTTTTATAGGTGTCCCATCTAAGAGAGAAGCTGGGTGTGTTTGAGGCAGAGGTGCTCAGTTTAAAGCGGGCTCTAAATGAAGTGAGCAGAGGAGTAGAAGTGGTTGTGAGCCCTAACTTAGCTGCTGCAGGACTTTTGCCCCCCTGGGGGATTGTCCACTGCCCACGTAACCCCACTGAGTCCTCAACCAACTCTCTCACCTCCACGTCTGACACCCTGCTGAGTCTTCAGAGCGATGAAGCCAAGGCCCAGAGGCAGGAAGCTCAGAGACAGGAGAGGCAGCAACGGGAAGAAGCTCAATGGCGTGATGTGCAGCAGAGGCAAGATACCCACATGCAGCAGGACCTTCGAATGCGTCAGGATGCCCAAATTCGACCAGAGGCCCAACTCCGTCAGGAGGCCCAGCTTCGTCAGGAGTCTCACCTCCGCCATGAAGCCCAATTACGCCAAGAGGCCCAGCTCTGCCACGAGGCCCAAATGCGTCATGAGGCCCAACTCTGCCAGGAAGTGCAGCTACGTCAGGATGGCCACCTGCCGCAGCGAGGCCCGGAGGGTCACTGGGACGAGTCAGGGGAGCTTCGCAGGCAACTTGAGCAGCTGCAGGCCGCATTGCGCCTGGAGCGGCAGCAACGGGAACGCCAGGCACTCAACTTCGACCAGGAGCGACACACCTGGCAGGACGAGAAGGAACGGGTTTTGAAATACCAGGCACAGCTTCAGCTCAGCTACGTGGAAACGCTGCAGAAGAATCAGGCTTTGGAAAAACGTATGATCTCGTTGGGAGCTAAACCCTCCTCAACGTCCACCACCACCACTATTACCACCATCACCACCAGCTCCCCCACCTCTTCCAATTCTCCCCCTCCACCACCAGCCATGTCACCTCTATCCCCTCAGCCCTCACTCTCTATCTCTGGCCCCATTGCCCTCACCATCTCCCCGCCTTGTGAAGATCAGAAGGGCCCTCCTTCTCTCCACCAGCTTGCCAATCCCTGGGCAGGACCTTCACGCCTGGAGAGGATAGAGTCCACTGAGATATAGAGACATGACCAATTTTCCAGTCCAAGACACTCACAGTGACGAGGCCTCTCACAGAAAACCACTTCAGCATACAGTTGAAAAACATTTCAGTCTACAATAGAATAAATCAGTACAGTCTGACAAACTTTTCAAAGCAACTTAAGACACTGAAAACAATAACAAATGCCGAATGCCCACTACCAGTAACAGATCCTCCGCACGGGAAGTTGAACTTCATTCAATCAATGATTTTTCAAATTCCTAAGCAGCCTTTCTCTCTGTAGTTGCACATTACTACATCTCATTTAGCCAGTGTGCAATGTGAGGAATGTGCCACACTGATGGATGGCAGAAAAGCAAAATGTTAAATGACAATTTTTAGATGACAGCACTAATACAGGGGGTCATTTAACGCCCATGCTAGAAAAGGACCAAGACAATCAGGGATATTGTCAGAAATTAACGACCAGAATATTATGCGGTATTTATTCATTGTAAGTCTGTGTCACTGGTCATGTATAAGTAGAAATAGAGGTCAGAGTGTGTGATGTTAACTTGCATTTTTGGCCAGAGAGCGCCTTACTCCATTTTTTCCAGCATGTATACAAGAAAAACTAATGCTGGGAATAGAAAAATAGGAGTGTGTTTATCATTTTCAGTGCTTTAATTATAATATCAGAAAACCAGTCACACAACATTGTTACACAGGGCTGGACTAATTCATTTAAAATCCCAGCAGATATCAACATCAAAGGTCACACCCTGATTTTTGATTGAGTTTTCAAGTCCTTTCATGCACAGGGTCCACAATGCATGACCCATATAAACACATCATTAATACCAACAGAGTTTATATTTTCTAAAAATTGAATTAAATAGATATGTTTAGCAGATAATCAACCCCAACTGAATATAGAAAATGTTTTAAAAAGTGGGAGAACCTGATTCGCCTTCAATGCAGCTCGCCTGTCTTGACTAAAAACAAACACTAGAGGTCAGAGGAGAGCTTTCACAGCGATGCCAACTCAACCGTCTTTTATTGAACTGCAAGGAGAATGTGAATCAAAGCACACAATTTGAATTTGGTTATTATGATAATTGTGTTGTTCACTTTGTGCATTTACAGCCAAGAAATCAGTCGGTATCCCCAAAGTCAAAAATACAATTTATAGAATGTATGATATACTAAAAAGAAATACTTATAATAGTTATAGATTGTAAATGTGTGTATGTGGTGCGAGTGCGAGTGTGCGTGGGAGAGCCGGTGTGTGCATGTGTGTATACTTATAAAAAGCTTCAGCTTATGAGATTGAGGATAGAGGGACTAGTGGCAATATAGTAAGTGAAGATATGTTGATGGTAAATGGATTTTTCTTTTTTTGGGGTGGGGGCTTTAAGTACTGTAAGATGTAAGGGCACTGAGACTGAAGGAGTATGTATATCATGGAAAACTGTCTCTACTGTATATTTCTTTTAGACAAAGCAGGGGAGAACAACGTTTAAAAAAAAAACCTGAAAAGGGAAAGTCAGCCTCTTTAAAGGGAGCGTTCAGGCTAACTGCACTACGTAGTGTCCTACACACGAGTTATGATGTACAGTAGACTCAGATGTGAATATCATGGCTTTTATATGTGTTGTTTATGCCAGCATACAAAGATGTTGCTCAAGAATATTAACTTATCTCTAAAGTATTACATAGTATTATCATCTTTATTACTGTTATTATATTATGGTGAACTGACAGAGAAAATATGTGCCATTTAAGCTTTCCTTTATGTGTTTTTTTAACTGTGTAGATAGCCTATTGGCCTACCATAATGGTGCAATCATAGCAACCCTGTCCAAAAATGATGTTCTTTTTGATGTAGGTGATAAATGTAGTTGCAGTATTGCATTGTTTAGAGAACAAAATGCTACCAATTTTATACATTACACAATTGTATTGTTTGCATTTATGTTACTAGTACTGTTCTGGCTTGATTGAAACCACCTCTTTGTTATTCAGCAGAACTAATAAAGAAATGTGAATAATTCAACACCTGCTGTGTCTAAGGGCTCCTATAATGAATAATTGTAATGGATCAGGACATGCTTAACAATAATTCAGAATAATAATACCCCAACATACAAAATTATTGAAACAAAACCACTGTTACTGTAAACTTTGGCCAGCCCTGTGTTGAAAAGGATTGTCCTTAAAAGTAGCAATATCACACTGTAAAATACTCCATTACAAATACAATTCCTGCATAGAAAAGTATAACATCAAAATAAGTATCAAAAGTCAATTAAGCAGAATGAATTGGTTCATGAAGTTATTTAATTATTAGCAATGATGCATAAACTTCTCAGCAGAATGTTTAATGTATACAAATAGGTAGGTATCTATGTACTGTTGGTGGTTTCATCTGTAGCAATGCATCTTATTTTACAAGTTTGTTTAGAAAGAAAGAACCGAAGCCGTCACATATATTTGAGTCCAAATATGCCTACACCATTCTGATATAATGTGAGGTACAAAAGTGCTCAAACAGTGTACCTCAAAACTGTACTTACTGTGCATAACTTGAGTGAGGAGAGATTGCAAGTGAAATGAGCATTGTTTTTTGGAATCACAAACCAAAAAGTTCGGTGACCATTTTGGTCTTGTCTTCTAGGCTGAACGTAGGATGGAGATACTGGAACTATCAATAGGAAATGCATACTAGTAGTCCTTGAAATGCTGCAAGCTGCCATTTAGCATCTTGTGAAGGTGATCGACCTTGTTGACATATATGTGGAGGAGGAGAGACTACTCTGAAAAGACAGACACAATATTGACAAAAGGTCAAGACGTTTACATTATTGCACAGTAAAGGTTGTGCTGAAGTGAGAAATAAAATAAATCGGCGGACAAACATTTATCAAGCTTATTATCCTACCTGTAGCACCCATCGAGACATTTTGCAATTACAAATTAAAGGCATGTCCCTCATCGGCTTCCCTAGATGTGTCGGACTGTTGGCTAAGCTAGCTAATGTTTGGATGTTAGCTACCTTTTAAAGTTGGCCAAAGGAGCCAAATAAAGACCCAAAACAGCAACAATAAGGCGACGTAAGCTCGGTATGCTTTATTTTTACTAAGGTTGTGTTATTATTGTCTGATTGGCTCAGCATTAGCAATGTTGGCGAACATTATATTGCTAGCTAACCATAAGTGTGGTGTTAGCGTATGTGAATATACCAAAAACATACCGTGACATTAACATTGACATAACATTAGCTCGATGCTTCACGTTAGTTTTTCAGAATGCAGAAGTAAATGTTTTTACAGGTTTTTCGTTTGAGGCCCAGATCCTCTTACATCAGTGCAGATAATATATCTGAAAAATGAATTACAATCTACATCTGTCTCGTTGGTATCAGTTTATTTGGTGAAATGTAACTTAACATTTGTAGTGTTGTAGTAAGGTTAGCTTAATGAACTATTATCCTTCAGAGGACTAATTTGTTTGTGAAGTTAGCTTGATGTAATCAGGCTATCCACTTAGGTGGTCTTGTATGATATTGTATTGCATATCATATATGAATAACATTACATTCTCAGCTTTGCAAATATGGACATTTTGACTGTCATTCATTATAGAGAGTAATAGGAAAGATGTAGTGGCCAAATCGTGTTTATGTTTAGGTCTAACTTTTGTTAAATTTGTACTATTTTATATTATTAATCATTTAGTGTAGACAATTATAGATTTAAAATATTCCTATTGTTACTTAGTGGTCAGATGGCAAACATTTATTTAAGTAACTTTCTCCTTCTTTTTTTTAAATCACTGTGTGTGTGCTTACCTTATGAGAGATGAGTCATTTCTTGAAGGTCGTTTTTTGATTAGGTCAAAGGTCTTGTATAGGTATAGGTGTAAACACAAACAAAGTGATTATCTTCAAATAATCCAGGGCAGAGTTGTGAACCAATGTGAATCTGTGTTAAGAAAGCTCTTATATGAATGCCTCATTTTGCATTGACCTATACATTGACTATATACTGTTTGTGACCCAAGGGTCACATGTATGCCTCTTAATCAGTTTGTGTCTTCACAGGTTGGACAATATGGTTGTGAATCTCTGTCTGCCACACTTTTATGCGACAGTTCATTGCAACAAGGTACAACCATTTTATGTACATCATGTAACCTTAACTTCTTTCAGTTTTATTAATTGCATTAAATATAGGGCCTTTCAGAAAAACTCAAAGCTTTGAAGCCTCATCATAACTTTGACATCAGAATTTTAAATCAACATTCCAAATTGGTATTTTTGCAAAGTTGCAGATAAAATCAAGGCTACTATTCGCATTACATTACAGACTCTTGTGATCTGAACATTTCCAATGACTCCAGAGTCTTGTGAAGTAAAAATGTAAAAAGAAATACACAATAAGGTAGATTTACTGTATGTTTTTTACACAATGTTTTGCTTCAATACATATTTTTTGGCATTTACCCTTTCAAAAACAACATTTTTTACTACCTTCAAAAACAGTCCCTTCTCGTGCTTGCCGCACATAAAGGGACACACTGACGAGTTGCATTCAACACAATTCAAAAAGTCTAACTCTTTTAATCCTATGAATGGCTTTATTCAAATTGTGGATTAGTTTAAGGATTTTTTTGAGAGTGATGAAATCATAAAATGACGTCAGACACTGGAAGCCTTATTCCAAAACCATAATTTAAGTTTCAAATCTAAAAAAAGAAAAGACAATTGGATTTGGTACTGCCCCAATATACGATACCTCCCTGTTTTGTTTTTGTTTTTTGGTAGAAAATTGCTGCTATTTCCAGTTGACATTCAAGTAGTCTTAACAACAATTACTTAGTACAGAATAAAATTAAAATAAAAACAGATTTCTACACTCGTCTAGTGTTTTATTATAGTGAGATTTTGCTTTGGCCTATTTTCTTAAAAAATAAAAATAGGTCGAAATAGTTTACAGCAAGAAATAACGTAGATAGACACGACTCAGCAAAGGATAAAGGCGGAGGACAGAGATGTGAAAATAGAAGCAGAGGGACAAAGTGATGTGCGGGAGAGTGAATCACAGCTGACCTTGTTATGTTCTTCTTATTTGTATTTTGTAATCTGATCATGACTACACCTTCTTCCACACTCGGCAGGGAAGTTGTTCTTTTACCCACCATCATCTTTTATATTGTCACATCTCCTTCCATGTGATGTTTTATATTGAATGTCTTCTGTGCTCGATTCTAATGTGAAAGGCCGCTGAAACTTGAAAAGATTTCCAGAATTGTAAAAAAAAAGTATGCCTAAAATGAACAGTTTATAGTAAAACAAGTTTATTGGACAAACACTTCAGGTTTGCCATACACTTATGTAAACTAATTTATTTTTCAACTGCAGCTCTGTGCAGATGGCTATGATGTCACAAACCTCGTGTCAGCCGACCCTGCTCTCCGGAGGCAGGGCTTCAAGCTGGAGTACTTCCTACGACCACCTGTACAGGTAAGATTGTCTTACTTGAGTAGAGGTTTCATTTCTTTCTGAGAGTTAGAGACAATGATAAATGATTATTGTCTACCTCAGAAGTGGCTACTGTCTAAGGTTTTACTGCCAACTAATGGCCTTCAGTCTTAAAAACATCAACTTATATTCAAGTTACAAGCCTAAAGCATGAGCACTCTTATGGCAGAATGCTGTAGTTTATTTAATAAAACAGCATCCGTACGATATCTTTTAGCATTTTAATATTTGCAAAAGTGGCATCACTTGTAATAAATGAATCTCTAATATTGATTTCCATATTTCTTTTGTTCCTCTCAGGTGACGCTGAAGTTTGGTTTCAAAGTGGAGCTGTACAGGGTGGATGTGGAGCTTTGGCCCTGGGGTATGGACAAAGGACAAGCCTGCAAGAGACTGGAGATCAGCACCAGCTCTGATTCGACACCCACACAGAATTTGGACCAAGGCAACAAACGGGTTCAGCAGAAACAAATGCAGGTAAAGGACCAGAAACAGGACCAGAAACAGTGCAGAGATAAACAGCAGGGGCATGGCAGTAAATCTCGTCAGAGTAATGGACACCAGTGGAGACATCAGGCCCAGCAGTGGTGTGGAGAGGCTCCGGATGAGCCTCAACAAAGAAGCTATGCGTTCAAGTCAAACACTGAATCCAGTAATCCTGAACTAGAGTTTAAGCTGATAGGCCGCTGCGAACTCAGGGAGGAAACCCAAGTCTGTTTCACACGTTCAAATGTCAGGCCCCGGCCCCCGTTCCTCTCCTCACTCCCCCCACAACCTGCGAACAGTCGCCAAGAGGATCTGTGGAGTCGGGGTCTGCTCTCATTGGGCGCTGTGACACAACTCCGCGTGACTTTGCCATTTGGCGGTTCAGCATCTGCTCTGGGGCTCAAGACTTTGGCTGTGTGGGGGCAACCTGCTCGCTGCTGTCCTGCAGAAGAAGTGGCGAGAATTAAAAAAGTCCATGAGGACAGCCAAAGACAGCTGCCAAGACCTTCGTTCTTTACCCCTTCTGCCAGCCAGATGAAACCACTACTGCAAGCAGATACACCTCCAAGGTATGTGAACAAATACATTTATTTTTAATTTGCTTCTTGTTGTAGATGAAATAGAGCTCATAATCATAATAAAGGATAATGATTTTATGTCCGCTTTTTGTCTGACTCCAGCCATCTTTCCATCCCAGAAGAGTTCCATGACCGGATAACCCAGGAGGTCATGATGCTGCCCATGCTGCTGCCCAGTGGCGTGTCCGTGGACCACAGCACGCTGGAGGAGCACCAGAAGAGGGAAGCCACCTGGGGTCGACCCCCAAACGACCCCTTCACTGGCGTCCCGTTTACTTCCACCTCCCAGCCTCTTCCTAACCCCCATCTGAAAAGCCGCATTGACCACTTCCTCCTGCAAAACAGTATGATAAGGAGGGAGGGGATGTTGGGGAGACAAGGGGAGGGAGAGCATCCACAGGCCTCGAGACTTTTAGACTCCAAGGTCGAAGGACAGTCCCAGGACTCTCAAAGTCTCAGTGACAGCTTGACAAACAACACTGCTTTTCACGATAATGCTTGCACCAGCAACACAAACAGGACTACTCAAGTAGAAGACACTGGATTAAGTCATTCATCAGATAATGGGAATCACAAATTTGACACCCAGCCTCTTAACACGGAGAGGAAATCGGAGAGAAGTAGGAAACGAAATCTAGGTGGAGTTTCCGAAGAATCCACAGAAGGTTTTCCAGCCGACAGGCAACTACTACAGCAGACAAAAAGACCAAGACATGATGTCGCTTCTGGTAAAATGTGTTATATTTATTGTTATACAAAAAAAAAGCCAACATATTTCACGACTGTGTTTCTCCTGCTGACTTCTTGGTGTTTACTCCGTCTTCATCAGTTTCCAGCTCTCATGAGCAGCGTTTGTCAGCCAGCCTGGATGAGGCCCTCTTCTCCGCCCTGCAGGGCAGACCCTCCTTCACCTCAAACCTGACTCAGCAGAAACGGGTTACACCTGATTCTGAACCAGTGAACACATCACAGCCGTGTCAGGCTGCCGGCCCCTCGAGCATCCCACAAGGTAGGATTAAGAGAAGTGTACTTTGAAACACTCAAACTAAAATATGTTTAGTGTCAACAGATTGTACCCACTGTAAAGTGCGTTGACAACAGGGTTCCTTCACAAAAATAAGCTCAACTTTTGCCATAACAACAATACGGTGCAGTGTTTTTCAATAACCTTAGACTCATTGTTCTACAAACTGGACTTCCTTAATTGTATTTCTTCTTTTTTTTGTAAATATCTTTATTGATTTTCTCAGTTTTACAAAAGCAAGTGATACAGAGCATGTACATTCGGTTCCAATTCAAGTAACGATTTATACACACATTCTGACAAATCAAAATCTCAATTTCAATCCTTGATTGTATTTCTTATCTAATTTGTATCTGAAGCAACATGCCCATTGTTGCATCCTGTTAATGCAGAGCTGTTTTTGGTCTTATCACACTCGCATGGACAGCAGAAAGTCTCTCTCATAGCTCATTGATGCTGCCTTTTAAAGCGGACAAAATCGAGTAGAGGGTTTGTCAGGCATCAAAAAGATCCCTTTATTATGTCGCAAATTATTTTGGACTCTAACAATACACTTGTTTTCCTTTGCTTGCCAGGTGAGAAGACGTGCTCTGCGTGTTCCTGTTCGGTCTCTGGCTACTCCAAATCTGCATCCTCCATCTACCGTCTTACCTGCGGCCACTTGCTCTGCCACTCCTGCCTGCGGAGGGAACCACAACCACCAAGCTCTGTCACCATATCAACTGCCAATCACATCTTGTGTTCAGCCTGCCAAAGCACTACCCCGCGCAGTGAGGTCATACGCGTTCATCACTAACAGATGACGTGTAAAGGCAAATCAACACAATGAAGGTGAAACCAGCATTATACCTGAGATTAAGTGTTTAATGTTTCAGACATGTTAAACGCAAGGTGGAAAAAACAGCATTCACAGCTGAGAGCTACAGATCCTGGATATTTCACTTTTTTGACGCCACCTTCATCCCCCTCTTTGATATACAGCATATTTTCTCAGATGTGTGTAACTGTAATTTTGATACTACTCTCATTTTTTGTATACATTTGTAATATTTCTACATTATGATTTTGATTCACGTCTGAGTTTTTCAAATCTGTTTATAATATTCTTTTGACATTTCTTGAACCCGCCACGTCACAAATTCAACTTTGTATTTATGTCCACAGCTTAGAAAGAACATCACTGAAAGCAATGACCTTTACAAATATCTGCAGCAAAAGAATGCTTAAAGAAACTTGTTCTCTTCTCTTCCGCCCCCCCCGTCTGTCTTAGCCTTTTCATCCAGGGTTGAAGTGTCGTTGCAGCCTTGGTTCTGCAGACCTTGTACAAAACCTGGCCTTGTAGATGTGTTGAGAATGCACAAAGAAAAGGTTCTGGGACACAAGTATTGGGAGCAAGAGGCCAGAAGAATGAACGTGAATTCATATCTACCCAAGGCCGTTTGGCCATTATGAAGAATCACACATGTCATGCTCATCCTTCCCCTCTTTCCTTCACTCTATTCACCATTTTACATTCCCTTAACTCTGGTATATTGTTCTTGTCTTAACAGAAATAAAGGCAGAAAATGTAAATGACTTCTTGGTGTTGGTTCTGTTAAAATATATATCTTCATTATAATTAAAATGTCTCCATATATCTCCAATAAAATTATGGTTCTAGTTGTATCACAGTTTTTCCTTTTAAGGTGCAATGTTATGAGAAGCTACATGTACTCCAGTGTCCTTGCCCACGTATTCATTTTCCTTCCTCTTAACACTTCAACCTAATTACCTCTTATGAGTTTGTCTTGCATTCACAAAAGGGTTAAATGGACAGAGTCAGGAAAAACAGCATGTATTGGGCTTTGCATCCACAAGTGGCAATATTTATGTGTTGGTTACCCTGACAACATTAAGCTTAACCAAGGTCATGATCCTGTATCCGCTCCGTTAGAGTAAAGGCTGAATCGGATGTTCTGCATGTGAACAAAAAACATAATCTTCAACACATCAGATACAAGTATCAGCACTCTAAAAGAGATGTAGAGTGGTATTAACTACTGCTTTTACTTGTCTAATGAACTGATAAGCTTGTTGTTCTCCATGTGAGAAATGTAATAAAACAAAAGTAAACACCCTCAATCTGATGCTCAGGTTTTCCACTTAGCATTCTGCATCACAACAGCTAATCGGGGAGTAAGAATCCAAAGCATGCAACAAGAAACTGAACGGAATAATGAATTTCAGATAGTTACCTCCATTTGAAATGCTAATCTTGTTGTGCTCATTAATTGTTTGAAATTACAGCAGCAGGATAATCTGTGTGACCTCGAGGTTGTCATGAAAGAACCATACCTCCATGTAACAAGAGGAAAAATATGTATTTACTGATGAACGGTGGTTAAGACAAATTGTGCATGATTACCATGAAATGTACCAAATCATTGCGCTTATTGCAGTACATCCAATTAGTTGTCCACAAGTCTAATTAGACGTTCATGTTCTGCCATTTTCAGTGTGTGCCATCCGCGTAGGCTGAAATTATTCAGAAAGATGTTCTAAATAAGTGTGGCGCAGTCTTGAATACAGAAAAGGCATCTTGTGTTGTCAGCGTTGTTCTCTCTTGTAGATTTGTTAGATGCCACTAATCTGATTCAGAGCCATATCTGCTGCGACCTCTTGCGCACACGCACGCAGCCAGGTGGCCTTCGGGTGCGCGTGCATGCGGAGAGGTGTACAGCACGACACTGACGTCAGATATGAGTGTCAATCGCTTTGTCAGTTCATGTCCATCCGCTTATAAAGTGAGCCATGTACCGGGGTATCAGCCACACATCTCCAGACGGAGCTCAGACCGGCGCGCGGCTCTTCCATTAACCAGCAGCGATGCCTCACTCCTTGTTCCCCATGTGCGTCCTGGCACTTCTCGCCCTCTCTTCCGCCTGCTACATCCAGAACTGCCCCCGAGGAGGGAAGCGCGCTCTGGCGGAGTCTGGCAACAGACAGGTGAGGACAAGCCTGTCATCTGTGACTTTATCAGATTTCTTTTTAATGCTTTGGATGCTTTTTTGGTTTGAAATTTCCCCTAAGTAAGTAAAATATATAACATTAGGATAATTTTAAATATGAAATAGTTCAATTTGCAATCATTTGATGAGATCAGTTGATATTGATTTTGAGGTTTGGGATTTAAATGTTTAGAGAAAAACCAAGCCATTTTACTTAATAAAATGGACAAAATCAGGCAGGAATAACAACGTAAAACATTGTTAAATATAGCAAAAATGTCCAATTTCAGGAGCTAACTATTAGATGAACACATTTATTATTTGTTATAATGATAATTGTGTGCATAATAACTTATAGTAGAAACAACACCCATCATGATGCATTTCAAGTGTTTTTATATTATTTTAGTTCTGCATTTTCTGATATATACAGGCAAGTTTATATCCAAACATTAATAATAAAAACAAGCATATACTGTTTTGAGATTAATGTGCAACAGAATCATGCAACAGTTTTCCAGCTTTTAAGCATGCAAGTGTTTTTAATTAACATGAGAGACTATCAAAAGAGAGTGCAATGCTTAATAAGTGTTACAATGTTTGCAAAAGAATTGACTGGATGTATAACACTTTATTATTAATGCTTAAATCTTCCCAATTCTCCTCCAGTGCATGTCTTGTGGCCCCGGAGACAGGGGCCGCTGCTTTGGCCCCAGCATCTGCTGCGGGGAGGGCCTGGGCTGCCTGCTGGGGTCCCCGGAGACAGCTCACTGTGTGGAGGAGAACTACCTGCTGACCCCCTGCCAGGCGGGAGGGAGACCCTGTGGATCTGAGGGAGGACGCTGCGCTGCTTCAGGACTCTGCTGTGACTCAGGTACAGTCTGGTTTATTATTCCTCATGTTCAGACAAGTTCATAAGTCGGGGTTGAATTGGTCTATAGGCACAGCTTGAAAAACGTCCTCTCCTTCCTCTCAGAGAGCTGTGCGGTGGACCCTGACTGCCTGGGGGACACCGAGGCCCCAGATCCGGCCCACGGCTCTTCATTTAGCTCACCTGCAGAACTTCTGCTGCGCCTGCTGCATGTGGCTGCCAGAGGACAGACTGAGTACTGACACTCCGGGCCATGAAGGGAAACAGAATGAAGACCATCACTGTTCCACTACAAGCCTTGAGATGTAAACCATGAACCCATAAAATGCCAAGTCAAACTGTGTTCTCTCTTAACCCCTTCTGCTGTCCTGTATCTGTAGAGAGGGCCATAGAAGAACTACCTGTAACTTTAGTAATCAGTCATTTTTCATCCAGATCCTGTGGAAGAGGAATCATGATATTGTATTGTTTGTTCCAACCTTAGAAATGTATATACTGATGCACATACTGTAAACAAATTGTATTCTATATAAGAGGATGTAACACACCTCAGAGCTCCATTTCAAATAAGTGAATTACAGCAGAAGAACCCTGTATATAAGTTAGAGATCTGACATTTAAGACATCCATGTAAAACAACTTAAGCAGTTACTTATTGTGTGGTAGAAATATTATTGTAAATTGAAAATAAGAGAGACAATACAGAATATATCACTGCCAAAAATCTTCAGCTGTCTGTTGTCGTTATTCACAAGCTCAACATAATTACACCTTTAAAGATGATTGATGACTAATATTGTTTATTGTCTGTGTGTGTGTGGCTGTGAATGTGTGTGTCTGAAAGGAATGAATAACTACCTGAAATAGAAAACTAAGAGATCACCCATAATACTTTCTGTCGTAAATCAGTATCAATTCTTTGAACCTGTCCAGCGTTATAGTTCGTAAGTTCAAAAGGCTGGACAGTTATAACAGTCATCCTTTCCCCCCCAGAGGACACAATAATTGTAGGTGTGCCTAACTACAGCAAACTAAAATGTAAAATGAAAACGTTGATATTGATCTGAGGGTAAAGAGGAAATAAGCTGGACTTAGTGTATTTCACGGCAGATTTAAAAGTCGGCTAGTAACAATTATTTATCGAATTGTCACATGTTGCACTAATACGATGAATTAACCGTGTCAATCAGTAGCTGCCTTTCATTATCTTCTTCAAGCACACAAATCTCTTTGTTGTTAGACAGTGTTGCTTCATATTCCTTTGTGCAGGATGATTAAAAGTTGTTTTTGCCAGAATGTATGTGTTGCCAGTTTCAGTTGGAACAGGATGCAAGACCTCCCACATTCTGACATTTACAGTACCTGTTTTGAAGTAATACCTGTGGGTCGGGAACTATAAACGTGTCTTATATCTGCCTGATTAATTGTTCAGTGTTAAAAGCTTTGATAACATACATTGCCCCTGGCCAATGTTGCTTCAGTGGTAAATATAAATGATTACAACCAAACAATTCCATGGAATCGTCCAACTTAGTTGATTAAGTTGACTTAAAAAAGACTCAGAATGAAACCGTTCTCATTGGCTGTGTAATGGTGAAGTTCAGTGCGACTTGATTTTGAATAACAGTTAATATTACGTAATTATTTGTAATTAGTGCAGAGCAGAAGCGGATTGGATGCAGCCAATGTAGTCAACAAAGACCACAGTGGCTTTTTCCCCACAAAAAAAACTAATCTTCCAGATTTAATTTCCAGAAGAAGAAAAAGAACATGTCAGAAACAAAACCTCATTCGTGTCAAACTGGCTCAGAAAGGAGGGGGGAAATTAAGTCTTGTGATTTAAGGCTTAGTATGTGATGAGGTATTTATTGTTGCATGCTCTAAACTGAAATGCAAACCAAAAATCATACAACACTGGATTTATTTGTTGGTTTTGACAACTTTCCCAAACACACAAGTAGTTAATCTGCCAACTGTCAGTCATTGTTGCTACCAGAAGAATTCCCCTTGGGAACAGTTTGACCCCCCCCCCCGAATAATTATATTGTCTGGTTTGCACGATCAGGTAAATTGCACAACATGTGACAAAGCCAAACGTATTTTGCCATCTTTAGTAACTTATTTATGAGCCCTTCTCTTTGCACAAAGGTCAAAGGTCAGGCCCATCTAGAGAGAAAGAGTCTTGCTCATTGATACTTAAGCAGTGCCTGTGTTTGCTCAGGGGCTTTTCAAATGATGTCTTCTGCTTGAAGGATAGTTTCCATGATCATTTATCGAAAATGTTGCCCAAAGGGTTAATAAGATAATTATTTGTTCAACATCAGAACATTATTACAAAGCCTTGCACTCATCACATATACTAATTTATCTTAAGTCTTCAGATACACCGTTAAATATATACCTTTTGTTTCTTTCGACTCTGTGGTTGACATTTGATCTCAGTTCAATTCCCATTGATCTCAGTTGTTGAAACTATAACCCAGCTTTCCTGACTTTGGGTGTGGCACTAGCTAAGCCTTAATTCAGTATCTGTCAATCAAAGAAAATCCTGTAAAAAGTGTGGTAATTAAACCTGTCAGAGCCTGTCTGAGTGGAACATACCTGTACCACGAACTCTGCTACACAGGCAGTTTAAACAAAGAGTCATTTTCAAAACGAAAGTAACATTGGTTTTCAAAAAACTGTTTGTGTGTGTGTGCGTGCGTGCGTGAGTGCGTGCGTGCGTGTGTGCGTGCGTGTTCAGCACATGTATTTAAAGTGAGTGACAGATTTCCCCCCTCAGTTGCTCGGTCATCATGGATCTGAAAGTTGTGTTTGCGATTGTCTGTCTGTGCGCTCTAGCCATCAGCTCCACTGAAGGTAAGGACCCTATTATTATGACAATTTATGTTAAAAGCAAGACAACGCTTTAATAGAATCAGTTTTTTTTTAAGATAAGTTATATACATGCTCAGAGATGTTTATATTTTTGGGCAGAATATACAGGAATCGATTGGTCTTTCACTTTCACTTCATATTGTAGAATAATATTAAAATGATAATTTGATGTTGTAAAGGCAGAGTATCTAAATAACTATGTTGTTGATGCAGCTGTTTATTGATTAAATAATCTTCTTTGTTTTTCAATCTAAAACTTTAGATTTCTTTCAATTGTATTTGTCATTATCTTTAAAACCAAACCAAACCTAAAGTCAAACCCATATTGTGCCTTCTGCTTTTGAAAAAGGTTAAACTACTGTTTTTTACAAACCAACATGCCTCACCTGTGTTATACTTCTAAGCTTTTTATCCCTTCCAGCTCTTCATGTTTTTTTTCTCCTTCCCTATTTTATATATTTTGTGTTTTATCTCTTGCTTAATTGCCAAATGTAACTTGAGGCTCATGGACAACAGTAATAATGTGCCTTTTTGGCTAACACCCGCACATTTAAAGTGATTTTGTACCTAAAAATATATTTTTTCCAAAGTTTTAACTCGATAGAATGGTAGTGATAGCAGAGACACAATTAAACACATTTGTTAATCATTATTGTTGTTTAAACATCCTTTTAATGGATCTTAATCCCACATTGCAGCTGGCATTCCAAAATGTTGCTTCTCAGTAAAGACGGACATTCCCCTCCGAGTGCTGGTGAGGGTTCAGAGATGGAGTGTGCAACAGAGCAGCGGTGCCTGTGACATCCCTGCACTGATGTAAGTGGTGAACATCAACAATAGGCCATATTATTACAGTTATCAAATTGTTTCTTTGTACTACTATCTAACCCTGAAACATGTTTCTCTTGCGGATCGACAGTCTGCATATAAAGGATTTCAGGAAGCCCATATGTGCTCATCCCAAACTGAAGAGAGCCCTGATGGCGCTGCAGGCCAGGGTGAAGCGGAGCAGACAGACAGCACGAGAAATCTAATTGTTTGTGTTGTGTTTTCTACATTTGGTGTGATACATAAGCCCTCACGGTTGTCTCTTTCTTTATTGATGATGATCATTTAGAGGTACTTGTACTTACTTTTACTATATACATTTAAAACTACTCTAGAATCAACTACATGTATTTAATAGATATTCTTTTTCAGAATATGATTTGACATACAATCTGATTCTTAAACCACACCGTATGTGAAGCGTTTTAAAATCAGCTGAAAATGGACTGTCTTCTGTCTACTTTTAATATTTGAGGTATATTTCATTGCTAATGATTCTGTGCTTTTACTTAATGTAAAGGTTACAAAAAGGGGTTTTACTTTTAATGGAGTATTTGTTTTCGTTTGTTGAATAATGTGAATTAAATCTTTGTCTTTTATACTTTTTATCGTAATACAATTGCATAAAAAAATAATTGTCAAATGTGATTTAATAAATACTTTTTCTTTTATGTATATTTGTATTTTTGCTTCCAGGTCTAGTTGTAGTGATCATTTATTTAAAAGAAAAACAAGACATGGTCAAATAATGTACGTAAGGTTTTTGCCTATATTAAGAAAGCATCAATTGGAGAGAGGGCGACAATTGTTTTCAATTCAAGATTCAGTGTCTTTATTGTCATGTGTAAAGTAGCTACAGTGTAGATATGGCAATGAACATTTAAAATCCCGAGCTCCTCCAACAATGCCACATAGTATTTATAGGACATAAAACCATAAAACAAAATGTAAGAAAATGAAAAAGTGATGGTTTTTGTCTGTTGAGTCAATGTCAGGTCCTCCAATTGTCAATCAATACTTAGACTTCAGGAGGCACTCGCATGAATATTATGTTAGCACTGAAGTTGATTTGTTTTGATAATAGGTTCACTCATCTAATGTTCTCACATCGCACACTAGAAGACACATGAGAACACTCAGAAACCACAGATGGACAATGATATCTGTGGAGTCTATGAATACTATAGCTTATCCTTGGTAACTCCAGATCTTTCTGAGCATAAATTGAACTTTCCTTGTTCCGTTTTGCCCTCTGATGATCAAAACCTAGACCCCACTCCCCCGTCTGTCATAACTAATCCCACAGAGACAAGCTGCTACAGAGAGGGCTTTAAAACACTGTGGACAGCTTCTCATTTATTAGATTTATTGGGTCTCATTCTCATTCCAATTTTAGTAGTTTTAAATACAACTCTCTGTTGTACAACTGTTTAGTTTTAGTTTTGACCTTTCATCCTTTATTAATGTTTGAAAGATCACATCCTGCACTGTTCATTTAAAGAAAGGGAAAAACATTTTACTCGCACTCAGATTTATTAGATTTATAGATTACTTTATAAAAAATCATCAAAGTTGTGTTGGTGCATAGTACATTCAATTCAAAGTGTTTTTTATCCCTCTACCTAAACCTTTATTACACTGAATAATAGTGTTAATGAATTGTTTTTCAACTCTCTTTTGATTGCGCCTTTGCAAAAACTCAGCTGTCCAACCATTAATTGTCTGAGACTGAATGGAAGGGAGCAGCCGTGAATAGCTGATGCTGCTTTTCATATTCTGCATTGTTTAACATGCAAGGAACTCAAATAAAAAACGTTTACGCAGGCACTCAATTTGAAGCACTTTGTAGGATATAGGCATTCAAGCCCAGGCAGTAGTATTCCAAGTGTATGTAAGTCCCTTTTGTGCGTCCTTCTTCTACTAAAGTGATGCAATATAGAAATGTTGCAATGTAAAAGTCAGGTGAAATATATGTTGATGACATGACCAAATAAATTCAAGGCGAACAGTCATCCACAGGTTAACTACTTCGCTCACAGGCCACAACATGAAGCTATCCATCAGGTTAAGATACAAGTCCTCAGGCTGTTTTGATTGTCAATAACTCATTCTTTCCAAATGGCAAAAAGCCCCACCAGCTAATGACAGAAATCCCCCCTTTGAATCCCTCCATTCCCAGACGAGCGGTAATTCTTTATCACATAATACTTGAGTCACAGCAAGTTTCTTCAATGCACGTTGTCAAAAACCCTCGATGTGAAGACATTCACCATTTATCAGAGAGCTTTTCACTTTAGCCACTCCCTTTATCAGAAACCATATTCCATATCCAAATGGTTTAAACGTTAATAAGGCAGTGTAAAAAAAATATACTAAGAAAACAAACATAATGGTGTCAGATTGGGCAACAGCATAAATTACTGTTACACATGTCACAGCTGTCTCCTGTTGAACTCTTGCCAACAACTTAATTTGTGATCTTAAATCTCCAGGCACTGATTCATCAGCACTCAAACCTTCTGAAAGGTTCAGCTGTGGCTCATCTTGCCTCCAAGGGCAATACTATGAAAAGCTGAAGGAAGAAGTATCGGGGGGTTACGTATTGTAACCCTAGTTATATAAACACAGGTGGAGCCCTCTACTGGACTCTATGGGTACTACCTTATCCCGCGTGCATTCTCCCACTGAGACTTCTATAGACGTAGCCGGCCCAGGGCGGGCCTACCTGAATGCGCGCGCATCACACCGTATAAAAGGAGGCCTCGCCTCCTGACTATCATCCTATACCTCTCTTCAGCGAGCGGAATAGAACAGACAGTGCCCTGAGTAGAGGGCTCCGCCTGTGTTTATATAACTAGGGTTACAATACGTAACCCCCCGTTATATCTCTCACAGGCTCCGCCCTCTACTGGACTCTATGGGTACAGTGGGTGGAGCCCTGATGTATATGCGCACTGTCGTCCAACACCATTCCACCCTACTGCCCCTGACCGGCTTTTCTGGTCAGCAGCTGCTGCCCCACACTCTCCCTTAACCCGGTTGTGACCGAGCAGAAATCTGGGCTGCGGCTGCCAGAGCACACCCTGCTGCGCTTACCTCGCAGAAAGGTATAGACGCCCATAGACGGGTGGGGAGAGCCCCCTCGGCCCCGTATGGGCTTGCTACGCACCTGCCTTCCTGAATCCCTAAGGATAACAGGGAGAGCGCCAGCGCCCATGCCTCACACTCAAGCACTGACCCCGTGCAGAGTGTGAGAGGACTAAAAATGTGGGGGGGCTATCCCCCTCCTGACGAGAGGCAGGAGGGGGGCAGCCCCTCCGCCCGTAACGGGCCAGCGCGCCCCTTGCCTATCCCGGGACCCTCAGAGGGCCCAGGAAAGGTGAAGGCGCATCACGTCCTGGGAGGGGGTCAGATGCCAACTGACCCACAACCCCCCCCCCCCCCCCCCCCTACAAATCCTGTGTTGCCCCAGCAAGCACAGACGAGGAGAAAGAGCCAGACATGTCCAAGAGATAAAACCTTATAAAGGGGCCTGGCGTCGACCAAGACGTCGCTGTGCATATATCCTCCACACTGTTGACACAGCTACAGCCCGTGTGGAGTGCGCACAAATCCCCGTGGGGCAGGCTCTCCCTGCCTGTCCGTCGGCATGTGCAATGCACTCGCAGAGCCAGCCTGCCAGGCGTTTCTTGGACAGAGCTTTCCCGATCACCCCGCCCCCGAAGCACACGAACAGCTGTTCGGTGCGTCTAAGGGCAGCCGTGCGCTCCATAATGCTATTTTCCTCACTATGGAAAACAGCATTAACCGGAGTTTTTACAGGCGTAGTGTGTTTTACTAAGGCCCCTGAACGCACCGCCACGCGCCTCTTTACAAGTGCGGGCGTTGCTATAATGCAGCCCCTATCACTATGGTAAACAGCATTATTTGGAGTCTTAGCTTCAGGCATAGAATGTTTTCTAACAGAAAAACGTCGGCCATAATGTCCCTGTACCTGCACCGCACTATAACAGTGCTGTCTGCGGTTTATCACTCTCATCTGCGCACTCCCACTAGCCTCCTCCCTAATGGGAGCTATAGCTGGGGCGGCGAGTGGGGAATTTGTACAGTCATCAACATGTGCAAGTGTATTGTGGAAACAAAGGACACTCAGACTTGGATACAGATCAACACCATCTTTATTTTAAAAGTTTTGACAGAGATCTGGGCATTAAATAGGCAGTTAACTCCGCGAAGATGGAGCTCCCCACCCGGGTGCTCTGCTGTTGCGGAGCCTGCCTCGGTCGGGCAGCCCTTCCCCGTGATTGCCGGTATGCCGGTGCCACGGGGTGGGCCGTAGAGGTGGAGGGCGCTGCAGCTACGGGACCCCCGTGCCGGCGCCTCTCCCTCCGCTTCACTGTCGCACTACGCTCCCTCCCCTGCATGGCAACGGGAGGGGGGCACGTAGCGGGGCCTGAGGAGGAGACAGCGATAGCATGCGGCTAAGCTGGACTCTCTCCTCCTCTAGGCGGCTGAAGCGCTGGGTGACCGAGGAGACCGACCCAAAGAGCCCCTCCGTGGACACAGGGGCTCCGAGGAGATCTTCTCGGTCCTTCTTAGATAGGGCCGTGAGCCCTGGCCACACGTGACGAGACGCCACTGTGGCCAGGGAAATCATCCGCCCTGCTGCGGTGGCCACGCCATAAATCAGATTACTCATCTGACTAACAGCGTGGTCCGAATAATCGCTCTCGTCCTGAGACGGGAGGGCGGGGGCGTCTGCCTGAGGGTGATCAGGAAGACGCCAACACGCCAAGATTATCGGCCGCAGCCGCCATCTGCGTACCGAGCTTGAACAACTTATCCAGATATTCCAGGTGTCTCGGTCCCGGGGCAGCGGGGCAGAGGACGTTTACCCTCCGCCCAACCAGCCGCGGAAGCAGATGGGCCGCCAGGCTCTCATCGAGGGGGGGGGGGCACACCTGAACATGTCGTGTCCGAGCGATCCACCACCTTAACGATACCCGCCATGGCGGCTATTGGGGCCTTCGTTTTAAATGGCTGCTGCCATGTCGCCTCCACACACCGCCATACCTCTGGCAGCTGGGGCGAAACGAAGGTCGGCTGCGCCGGACGCACCGGGCCGTAAATCTCAGGAGGTTTACAGGCCTCGGTGGCAGCGGTGGGGGGAGCGGTAAGCTTACATGCTCCGCCGCCAGAGTCATCACCGCCGGGAAATCGATCCGCGCAGACCTGAGAGTTGGACCTCCGGTCAGCGAGGCGTCCTCCTCGTCCCCCATCGGAAGAACCGGGAGACGTCACCTCGCTCCCCGAATCGCCTACGTCCACGACGTCGAGCTCCAGATCCACCGACTCCTCCTGCAGGGTAGCCCTCGCCAGGAAGTGCTGCCCACGATGCTCTCGTGTGAGCCGCGGGATCATCTGGCAGTCAGCGTCGGGCCCATATTACCCACCGCGTGGTCAGGCCCCAAGGACGTGAAGCAGAAGGGTAATTAGATTCGGGCATTTCGGGTAGGTCCTACACTTTACTCTCTTTTTCTGAATCGTCTCGAAGCTCGTGGAATCACTTCCGCTGCTGAAGAGAAAAAGGATGATAGTCAGGAGGCGAGGCCTCCTTTTATACGGTGTGATGCGCGCGCATTCAGGTAGGCCCGCCCTGGGCCGGCTACGTCTATAGAAGTCTCAGTGGGAGAATGCACGCGGGATAAGGTAGTACCCATAGAGTCCAGTAGAGGGCGGAGCCTGTGAGAGATATAACCTCTTTGTTAATACAACTACAAAAAAAGGTGATTTAACAATGTTAATGTGCTGTGATAAACAAGAATACAAATGCTATTTAGCTCTAAGCAAGTGAGAATATTATAGAGCATAAAAAAATCAAACATCTAAAAGTAAAGTTGAAGCAGAAGGAGTGCCTGTGATTACCTGTCATTTAGGGATGTTTTCTTTCACACTGTGAAGAGATCATAAGTCTGATGCAATATCACCCTCTACTGGCATGATGGTCTTATTTAATGCACAACAACAACCAGCGATTTTTTATTGTCATGTTATCGTAAAAATAATCTGTCCTGCAGATTCCTCATGTTTGCCGAAGTGAGTTTTTTCCCAAAGTGTAAAGTGTTTGCATTTGCTGTACATTTACACAGGCAACCCCACATGGCCCTAAAAAGTAGCACAGGTTGCATGTATGTGGTACTTCCTCCTCACAGAGTTTCACTCAGGAAACAAGCCTCAAATTGAACATGATCCAGTTTGTTTCGGTAAAATATAACTTGTTACGACACATGAGTCCATGAATGCATCATAAAAAAATATCAATAATCAGCACATTTTAGCAGAATGGTTGCCACATTCAAGATGGTTGCCCTTTATAAATTATTTCAATAATCTCAAATCCCAGGGCACGTTTTTTTTTTACGGATCTATTAGAAGCAACATATTGAACACTCTGGTGTGACTGCTGCATCCATTTAAATAAGGTGGTTTGTGTTCCAAACAGCAGATTTATGGGTTTGGCATAATCTAGCAGAGTTGCACTGAAATTGCTTTGTCTTCTTCTTGCCTACATTGTTGACTTTGAGTAAATGTTTAACTTCCCATAATTATCAGACATCACTGCAGTCTACAGTTGAGCATTAATGCCTGCTATATTACAATGAACAGTATGTGAACGCAAGCACTGTCATAGTGTTTTTCATGACGTGTGTTTAACATGCAAACCTCTGTATATTTGGCTACATGATACACATTTAGGCTGCTTTTAATGCTTTTGGGGTTGGTAGTGTCTCATGTCTCATTAATGCAGTACTATATTAACTTGAAAACAAATTGTGACAGAAACATATATATAAACCTGATCAAAGCCAGCTCACGTCTAATGTCCTGCACTGGTGGAGCCTGCTTTTGTGTCATTATATATATCAACTAAAAAGGGAAGGGCATGTATTTGTTGACAAGACAATAGAAAAATTAGCTATCAGTAAAGCTCAGGTCATACCATTTCCCATTTGTTAGTTTGATTAAAAAATCTAAGTGAATTATGTTTACTTTATTGTTTCAAATACAGATTTAAACCAGATATGACAGTAAAAAAAGAGCAAGAAAATTTGCTTTAGTTGTTAGCCTCTATAATATATATTTTTTGTTGGGCTTTTCACTAAAGCTGCCTTGTCATGCGTTGCCTTAGTATTTAAGTCTTAATCATTGATTCTTTTGATTGTTATTGATTATTTTTATAATTGTTTTGTGTGTGAAGCAATTGTATGACAGGTGCTGTTCAAATAAAGTTGAGTTGACTTCCTGTTGCAGCAGTGATTGACACCCGCCCCCTTGCCAGCAGGCAGCGTCCCCTTGGACTGAACCTCCCACCACTAAACCAGGAATTACTCCGCCTTAGAAAAACGTAAAAAACCTGTAACAGGTGTCTTTATAGTTTCTTAAGATGTCTGCCATTCGCGGTCTACAAACTGTTGAACACTCCGGAATGCTCAAGCTTTATTCTGCCTTGTTTTACGCCGGCTGCTCGTTCCTCATCACGGTGGTGAATAAAACCGTGTTGACGAGCTTCAGGTAGGCTATCTGGCGCTGTGTCATGCTGTCAACACATTTAGGTGGAACAAGTGTTAAAAGCGTTATGCTAAGACTATGATTAAAAGTGGTAATACAAACAGTGTAGTAAGGGCGTTCTCTATACAAGTCAAAGTCCTGCATTCAAACGTTTCTAAACTAAAACAAACTTTAGGGGCCAAAAGCATAGCTTCCCTTTATGAAATACAATGTATATTCAATTACTGTATCAATATGTACGCATTAACTTTAATAATGGAGCTGGTTAAGGTGGAGCTTATTTAACCATCACATAAACTGCTGGGTAGCTTGTGAAAATGTATGTTTAATGTTATTTTTAATCTATAATTTGATTATGAATAGCCTTTTCAAAGTAGCCGACGAATAAGTAATAATAAAATGGAAATACTGAAGTGAAGTGTAGTTCTTGACTGCATGTACGTACTTTTCATCTTCATTCATAGCAATAACAATGTAGAAAGCTCACGCACAGTGAACACATAAATAAATGATTCACAATGCAATACCACACAGTCAGCTATTGTTTTTGTGTTGGATTTTCAGGTTTCCGTCCTACTTGTTTCTGGGAATTGGCCAGGTAAGTTGTCCAGGTGTGGCTGTTTCTGAGTGGTTATGCAAATGTGAATCATGTACACACACGCACACACACGCACACACACACACACACACACACACACACACACACACACACACACACACATAAAAACAAAGAAGATTATTTAATCAATAAACAGCTGCATCAACAACAGTTATTTAGATACTCTGCCTTTACAACATCAAATTATCATTTTTTTATTCTTCTACAATATGAAGTGAAAGTGAAAAACCAATCGATTCCTGTATATTCTGCCCAAAAATATAAACATCTCTGAGCATGTATATAACTTATCTTAAAAAAAACTGATTCTATTAAAGCGTTGTCTTGCTTTTAACATAAATTGTCATAATAATGGGGTCCTTACCTTCAGTGGAGCTGATGGCTAGAGCGCACAGACAGACAATCGCAAACACAACTTTCAGATCCATGATGACCGAGCAACTGAGGGGGGAAATCTGTCACTCACTTTAAATACTTGTGCTGAACACACACACACACACACACAGACACACACACACACACACACACACACACACACACACACACACACACACATACACACACACACACCCTTCTTCATTGTCCCTTTTGTCCTTTCAGATGATCGTCACTCTTGTTGTCCTTTATGCTGCCAAAATGAGAAAGAAAGTCCAGTTTCAAGATTTTGACAGAAGTATTATCTTTAAAGTAAGCATTTCTCTCATTAAAAAAATACTATTATAATTGATTTGATAACATTTGTTTTCAAAATATATTACTCCTTACATTTCTTGTCAGATTTTCCCTCTTCCTTTGCTGTATGTTGGGAACCATATAACAGGGCTGGCAAGCACCAAAAAACTCAGGTTAAACCATTTTGGATGTTATCTAGTAGTCCTTAATTTCACGCTGCTCATTCATGTGTTTCCTGAACGTGTTTTGTGCTTTTACAGTTTACCCATGTTTACAGTATTACGGAAGTTCGCCATATTGATGACGATGATCTTGGAAGTATATTTACTAAAGTAAGACATATCTCTGAACTGTGTAGAACATTATGTATTATGAGCCCACTTACATGAAGAGGTTCATATATCAGAAGTATTATATAAGACAGGAGCTTCTGGCTTTGATCTGAATGTTTGAATGTTCCCTTTTTTCCAGAAAATCATTCCCAAGACGCCTTGTATACAGCGTTGTAGCCATAGTCTTCGGTGCCATGGTTGCTGCAAGGTATAGATTTCTTAAATCTGAATTCATTGATTTAGAATTGTTAATAGATCCTTTAACCCCTAATACCTGTACTTTCCATACCTCTTTCCCTCTCCTCTAGTTCTGACCTAGCCTTCGAATTGGAGGGCTATACTTTCATCCTGCTCAACGATGCCTTCACTGCAGCCAGTGGTGTGTACACCAAGAAGAAACTTGGCACAGAGGTAACACTAGCTGCACGTTCTGTGTGTTGGTCTTTACACAGACGGAAAGACACACTTGGGTTCTTTTAAACCCTGAGGATATTGTCCTTGTCCTATACAACTTCAACTGGTTTTACTTGTTTTTGGAGCTTTATTTTGTCTGGATGTCTTTAGAAGAAAATTTCTTCTTGTACCAGCTAGATAAGGAAGATGTCCACTTCTCTTCTTTCTTTTAGGCTTGTTGCTTCGTTCCTTCTTGTCAGAAGTAACACATCTTCAGTGAACAATGCTGACTCTGGTGCTAGAAGATTATTGGCTCTTATGGCTTCTGCTAGCATATTGTCCAGATCAACTTTAACCTTAACTCAAACTCTTGCGGTGTTCAACTCCTTCACCTCTTGTCTCTAGATTTTTAAATTCTGCCTCTTACTGTTCTTTTTTGGATGTGGCCTCATTTATTTGGAGTGGAAACTAGAGCAGGTAGAACCATGTTTTGATCGCTGAGAGAACAATTCAGAAACCTGTTGACTCAACTCATAAATCGAAGCTATTAGCTGCTTTTTTGCCTTTCAAATAATAAATACCAAAAACAACTTGCATCTTTCATTCATGCTGTATTTAACTGGTAGTTTCACAAAAGCTTAATGTCTGTATAGGTGTAGTAAACCGTTTTTGTATGTTAAATTATACAGTATTAGGAAATGTTGCTCACAGCTGTCCTGCCAAAGAATGAAGACGAATCTGACTTATTTATTTTACAGTTTTCTCAGTCGTTAATTCTTTATAAATAATTGTTTGCTTTCATTTGTACTATATGTCTAAGACTTTTGTAGGAATATAAATGGTATTGAATCAGATCATTAAAGAAGAATATGCACATTAGATTTAGAAAAAAGGTGAAAGCTTTGACTTTGATCATCTGCCCTCCTAACCACATATTTAAAAACGTATCTTTTTTTGCACAATTAAAGATATTGACAGCCTATAGATGTATAATATGAAGAGTTTTTAACATTTTACAATTGTAAAAGTAAATACATTTACGTTACAATGACTTTTTGTGTCACAAGTATCTCCACAAATGATCGTTGTGTATTTGATTTTGGTCACATTATATCTAAGGTTTTTGTCTTTCTTTTGAAGGGCCTCGGGAAGCATGGTGTCTTATTCTACAATGCACTTTTCATCATCATCCCCACTCTTTTGGCAAGTGCGTTTACTGGAGATTTACACAAGGTACATACAGTAACTGTGAATTTGTGTATTCTTACTAAATGTTAGCGCTCAAAATGATATGATTGTTTCCCTGCCTGACCACCCTGTATGCTTTTCTCCACAGGCAGTCACATTTCAGGACTGGGGCGACGCCACTTTTGTTTTTTGTTTCCTCTTGTCTTGCTCCTTGGGGTATGTCACTGAAATGTACTTCAAACTGCTATATTACTGTGATATTCTACTGTCAACTGTACAAAATAGTGATATTTTTAAAATCTAAAGATCTTCCATTACTCCTTCATGCCACCTGGTTTTATTAAACTGTTTTGTTTCCTCAGGTTTGTGCTGATGTATTCCATAGTCCTGTGCAGCTATTATAACTCTGCACTTACTACAACAGTAGTGGGGGCAATAAAGGTAAGACCACACTGATTTTTAGACTAGAAATCAGACAAATCTCCAACAAGGTTTCCTAATCCTCGAAACTCATTATTTTAATCATAGAAAATGCTTAAAGTTCCGAACTACGTGGTTCTGGAATCTACATCATACTACACATAGTGTTAATCAATCATAAAACAGTGACCATGTTCAAAATGGCTTATCTTGCCATTTTAAGAAAACACCCTCCTTGGTGGAGTCAACTATGTTTGTGTTTCACATTTCCATCTGTCTATATTCAAACGAGGTCCTCACTAACTGGAATTACTGTTGCAACTTTCTTAAGAACGTTGCAGTTGCCTATATTGGCATATTTGTGGGTGGAGACTACCTGTTCTCTTGGACCAACTTCCTTGGCCTCAGCATTTGGTAAGAGTTTAAGATTTGATTCTGGCAATCAAATTTGACAATATTGACCGTAATGTATTTTCAGGATTGTTATAGGTTTTTAATCACAATGGATCTTAATCTGGGGTTCAGGACTCCTTTTAAATAATAATTATCAGGGTTCAATAGATGATGCTCTACAAAGTTAGGGTTATATTTTCATACTTTTGTCTCCTCAAATGTTCTTGCTAAGTCTTGCAATTCTCTCCACCAGACCTCTATAATGTAATAAAACGCATCACTACTGTAGTTAGTGTTACTCTGGCGTTTTTATAATTACCCTTTGTGATCAACATATTGTGTTGAATGTCATTATAAACTTACCTGACCTGAAGTTCTCAGAAGACTTTGATGGGACCAGATGACCAAACATAAGTTTTTTCCCTGGTTTAACAATTAATTCGCTTTAATTTTTTGTTTTGCAGTATGTCAGGTGGACTAGTGTACTCGTATTCCACCTTTAATCAGAAAACATCTGTAAGTTATGAAGGAGCACAAGAGCTGAAGATTCGCATCACAGAAGATTCAACCCAGAAGGAAGCTATAATCTAAAGGGACAGTATTTTACCATTCGCCACCTGGTGGCATTGCTGTACTCCATATTGGAGCATCATATTTCATTTGTCATTTTTAATTAAAATCAATGAATTTAATTCTGTGGATACATTGAGAAGGCTCTCATTTTAATTTTCATACCAAATCATGACAGAATAAATTGAGGTCCACATCCAATCTGGGTCAGGTTTGGTGAACGTTTATTTAAAACCAACAATTATATAACAGTGTGGACAGCCTGTCAGAGAAATATTACCTTAAAATGTGTAATAAAATGTCTACCAAGCAAGCAGGATCACTCTATACATGCTAACAACATGGAAACTGTTGGAGGATGTTAGGGGAGAAAAAAAACGTTAACTAAAAATCGACTTCAAAGCTCTTCGTAAATTGTTCACACTCAACATTCTAACAAAAAAAGGTGTATATATTAAATGCCATTATCTTCTCAAACCACAAAATAGACTAAGGGTTAGAAATGCTTCAAAATAAACTATAAAGGGGTACAAATAAATCATTTGGTGTTTTGATTATCAACAATTCACTTGCCTTCCAGTTTTACCGAAACTCCACAAAGGTCATTTGTAAACCAAACAGAATCAAACATCACAGCTAGAGTGACAGCTTGCTGACAGGGCAGTTATGAGAGGTTCATACAGTGTCGAAGGATGTAGTGTTGCTCAAAAAAGAAAGAAAATTATAACACCAAGCACTATAAAAATCAGTTTATCAAAAACAAGTGCCATCTTTTTGGACTCGTACGACAAGTCTAATTTTCTGTGCATTGCAAGCTTAATCCAACACTTAAGTAGGGGTGTAAGTGCTAAGTAAAAAATTAATGAGGTGTCAAAATTGACAAACCTAAATGGATTTGAAAGGTTTTAGATTTTTGCTGGTGCCAGAATATTTCCCTTTACATGTCAAAAGATTTCAGGGCTATCAAAGTTCAAGAAATTGTTAGCCAGTAAAAAAAGAATATGGTGAAATAAATATATCATAACTTAATCTTTTGAAATTAGATGACATAGATGCAACACTATGTTTCTATGCCCGTATAATATCTGGTCTGTCCCCCTTTAATATAAAAGGTGACATTGTGAAATATCTCCCATCTTTCGGTCTGCTGATTTTACTTTTGAAGGTAAACATCTGTTTCAATGGAAATATGGCATTAGAGGTATTCTCGACCTCCAATGATTGACGATTGCTTGACTGAATATGAAAGACCAGTAAAAAAAAAACTTGGACTTCCTGTGTGCCTCCGGTATTGTAAATTGAAAACAAATGTGTGTGAGTCATGATAAAGTGGTAAAGCTGTCAAAGTATGGATTCTTTTGAAGACCTCTGGATTAGGCTTGCAATGATCCCATCTTATTCGAATATAAAAATGAGCCAATGCCAGACAGACTGACTGAACCCCCCCCCCCCCCTTTAGTCCACATTCGCTCACTTCTAAGAGCATGCTGTCAAGGTGATGCTTAAACTGAACCTCTCTCAGTCCATTTCTACCACCACTGCTGTAATCAGTGGAAGTGAAAGTGTGCTTACAATGCTAGAGATGAAACCTGGGAGCATGATGAGAGGCCATCCATATGTCCTATGTATGACCACACCCTGTATCATTCTGTCCATCTGAGCTTAATCCATATATACATCAATCATACACACTCGGTTACACTCACAAACACTCAAAGAACTCGTTACCATCAAAGTGCAAACAAAACAAAACATAATAGGTACTCTTCCTTTGCCTTTAGAAGACAGGAGAAAGAAAACATTCTTCATATAGTCAAATCTACAATTATAGCAGCCTAAAAGGATAAAATGGAAGCTGAATAAGGTGCTTTAGCTTGTGCCTTCCTGGTGCTGTGACAATAGATGATGATGTGCATAACACTGATCTCAGGCCAGTTCAGCTCGTTCTCAAAGTCAGATTTGACAACTTGCAAGAATAAACTAAACTAGTCATTGATCTGCATTCATGAACACTTCTAGCTAGAGCACATGCAGCAGGAAGGCGGGTTGGGGATGGAGACATGAGGGAATGGGAATGTCAGGAAGTGGGAAGGGGTTCAGGCAGACAGGTTGTTGGCCAGATCGATAAGTGCCAGAGCACCATGAAGACGCTCTCGCTGCTCCTGGAGGCGGCGCTTGGAGGCTCCTCCCTGGCTCCCCTTCTCCTCCTCTGCTGGTTCTTCATCTTCCTCGTTCTCTTCATCGGACTGGAGGTACTCCATGGGGTCCTGCTGCTCCTGGTCCTCTGCTCTGGACTTGCCCTGTGTCTTCCCCTTGGTGGTTGTGGGGACACGCTGCTCACGAGTTTGCCAGTACCTACAGCAACAGAAAAGACAATATTAACATACAAAGTACACAGGACATCCGATTAAAAGCACAACAGAAGTTCTTATATACTTTTGTTTAAACAGTGGCTCCACTTACTTTGCCAGCCACTCAGCCACAGCCTTGTTATCCACAGACTGAGCCTTCTCCTGGTCCTCCTTTGGTTCCTCTCGCTTCAGACGGGAGTAAGGGTGCTTGGGACAGTGACGGTTGGCATGTGTGAACCGATTGCCACATCCTGAAAAAAGAGAAGCAGGTAGTGCAGTAGCCGTTAGAGGCCATGTTTCTCTGTGATTTTAGAATAGTTAAGATGCACAATGTATGACCTATGTGGTTTCTAAAGACTGTCACAGTTTTGCTATGAATTTTTTTCTAGACAAAAGAATAAGCAATAACAATAATAAGGTACTTTCCACTGCTTTAAATATAAGAGAACCAGTTAAAAGCTCCAGTCAGACAAACGTACTGAGCATGCTACTGGAATGAATCCAAAAGTGAAAGGTCCTAAAAGTTCGACTTGTTTTTCTAAAAGCAGAACAACTGCACTTTAATAATGACAGGTCTTTTATAAAAATCCACAAACCCACCTTTCTCCGAGCAGACAAAGGGTTTTTCCCCAGTGTGCAGCCGCTGGTGGGTCTTCAGCTGACCACTCTGCACAAACGCCTTCGTACAGTTTGGGTAGTCACACAGGTAGGGCCTCTCTCCTGAGGGGGGAAATAGATGTATTGTTAAGACAACAGCATATAAAGTTTACAGTCAAATTATTACACAGTGCTACTTATATGATACACACATACAGCCCCTACTTTAAAATGAGAACACTAAAGCCAGAAAGTTGAGATTAGGTGCTAGGAGGTCAATTGTTTTCGGCTTTAACAAGATGTCTTTTTGACCATTAGCCATGTAATTATATACAACGCTAATGTCCAGTGCACCCATCATTCTGTCTCTCTCACCTGTGTGTGTCCTCTTGTGAGCCTGCAGAGACTTTTCTCTGGGAAACACGCGGTTGCAGATGTTACAGCGAATGCGACTGGCAGAAGTCTCCCCTTCGTTGATGAGCTCTCGGACAGTGTCAGCCCGGGGACGCCCTCTGCGGATGCCATCCTGACAGAAATAATACAAATAATTGTTATGTTAGCTCTACCACCACCTTAGGTTCTTATTTGTATAATATCCACCAGCCTTAGGAAAATGCAAGACATCATTTGTACATACATTAATTTATGATTTTAAACATTGAAAACAAATATAATTACAATTCTGAAATATATTAAAACTGGCATATCATCTCAGTCATTTTATTTTTTTATTTTATTATATATGTAAATAGATATTAAGAACACTGCAGATTTACACTATATCATACAATGCAACATCATGTGATTTTTTTTAGCTGTGCTCACGTGTTACATTGTAACAGGATGCACGTTTGTCCATTATAATCCATTCACATCCGGTTACATTTTGGCGCGCGACTAGACGTCATGTATGAGCAGCTGCTCCATAATCAGGAAGTAACTGGGGTTTAAAATCCACCATGTCACACCCTATTGCGCGGGCGATTTTTTAAATGACTCTCAACGCCGGCCATGTTAAGACTAACTCTAAACACAGTTTCCCCTACTTTAAATTATACATTAACAGTTATTTACCTCTAAAGAGTATACACCTCGCCTAGTAGCTCAGTTTCGAATAGTTCATGTCTTAAAAAGATGTCAACATCATGTTGCATGTAGGCTGCTCTCTTTTTCATAAAGTTGCTGTTGTTACAAACAGTGAAACAGTGCTGTTGTAACCATGCATTGCATTACAGTGTCGTCATCATATATTCCAAAAGAGCAATAACTAAGTTAAAGGCATTTATATAGGTTTCGATTTTGTAACTTCATGTGCCATACTACACGTTGTGCTGAGTAACTCTACGGTTAAATAAGTTAAACTTACCCTGATCTGCTCAGGTGTTGGCTCCGTGTCCGCTTCTCTGGCAGTCTGGGCTCCGGTGGGTGAGGAAGCACCGCTCACTGAGCCCGGGCTCAGAGACACATTGTGGGCGTTCTCCCCCCATTTCCACGGGTAGACCATGAAGTCGCTGAATCCGGGACTTGTCGGAGTCAGGGCCTCAGCTCTCCTGGGTTTGATCGGCGTGGTCTTAATAACAGACACCAAAACTCTTTTAGGCGAGTCGTTGCAGAAAATAACGTGCGGGTGCTTGTTATCGGCCATCATGTGGGTGTCGAAACTCCGGTAAAAGCAAGAAAAACTGCAGAAGCTGTACCTCTTCCTTAGTGATTAGCTTAAAGAATGAATGAATGAAAGTCATAAATATGTCGCTTATTCAATCCGGAGTGAATATGTCCTTCATTTCCAAAGTCGTAAATAAAGATCTTGGATCCGTTGTTCGCTGCAAAGTATCCGCAGAATATACAGTTGCATGTAAAGATGGTTAGTTTCCTTCTCGCCGCAGCGGGTCGTCCGAACTGACCTGTGCGCCCACAGGAGCGTTGTCCCGCGTTGCAAAATCGCGCCTGAGCAGTGGACTGACCAATCAGCTGCATGGATCAGACCCCACATGTCAGAAGTAACCAATGGCAGCACCCTTTTGGATCCACCTTAGAAGCCCGTGGGCCAATAAGAGCAAAAGGGATCGCACTTCCTGCAAAGATTGGTCGCAACGTTTTTATCCAATGATATTTAAACACTTGACGCGCGCTTTTTCACGCTGAAACGAGCATTGGCCAATCAAGTCGAGCAGAACCCACGTTTGGCCGCGACGGAGCCAATGAGAGTGAAGGGCGGCTAATTCTACATCGCAGAGGAGCAGATGGCTCTTTCCCGCGCTGAGGAGTCTGTTTATGTTATTACATTTTTGGTCAATTTAAAGGGAAAGGATCTGTGGCTCAGAGGCGCCAAAGTTACGTAATCAGGGCGGAAATACTTGAACAAAGGGTGTACTGTGTAAGAGAAAAATAAATAGAAACTTAGTGTGATTGAAACAAAAAAGGTGTTCGTGTTACATTTAGGAAAAATACAATTTAGCCACAACTTGTCTCTGTTTACCCACACTAAACATAGATTTCACAAGATGAAAATATAGTCTTTCTTCACACAACACGTGCTGGACATAAGAACACCAATACTTTAATTTATGATGCAATCACTTTTTGATTAACTGCATACTTTTTTTATTGTAGAAGTAACACCAATGACTAAGTACCAATATAAAAGGCTATTTAACAAATATAAAGTGTAAAGTAATAGTGTCTTGAGATGTTACCACTAATAAAGCCAGTTTGTTTGGATTTATTTGCCTCTTTACTGTTGGGCAGTCTGTCTGTCTTTGACTCATTCAAAGTCATCCTAAAAATACAAATATAACCCTACTGCAATGTACAATGTGTAGTTAAAAAGCATGCATAAGTGTAATTGAAACTGCCCATATAACTGCATTTAGAAGCCTGTATGCTAAACTATTAGTGATTCTATTCATGACATGTACAATATAAATACTGTAACAGGGAAGTAAATATGATTTGGTTCCCAAACCCCATGTACCTCGAGACTGTAGGTTGAACACCATTGACTTGCACTTTCTCATTTGACCACTAGATGGGGTTAAACAGAGCTATTGCAGGTGACAAAGCTAATTCAGGGTTAAGGTTTGTTTATCTTATTTCATCATACATCTTATCCAACTATAGTTACAAATATAATACTATAATGTTATACTATAATGTATAATTGATTACATTTACAAATGAAAACGACCAAATCGTTTTCAGATTATTATTGTGATGCTTTGATGGGCCTGTGAAAAGCCTGTTTGACCTGAGCAGGTTACTCTGGTACACTAGTCAGATTTTGGAGAGAAGTTGTTTGCTAGTAACAGCTGCTGTCACATAACTTTACAGGTAGTCTAACCAGAAAAGTCCTAGTCAATGAAAATACAGAACTCGGGGAAAATAGCATGCAACTAAACGTGAAAGGTTTAAAACTTAGTATTTTACATTAAATGTTATACATTTATTTTTCCATCGAAAACAAATATGGCAGCCATTCCAGTGTCTGTTGAATTCCAAAACAGAGAAATGTTGTCAGTAGTTTTTGCCAACACAGAGACATTTTGTCAGTAGTTTATAGAATAAAGTAAAACAACATTAATTGTACTCAAACACATGTGTATGTATACCTATGCATAGTACAACCAGAGAAACTGATAATGCTGTAGTGGTCTCGTGTTTTTTTACAGAGCTTTATGTACAATTCCTTTGGACACTTCCTGTGCCATTTTGAACAGCAACACACACAGTCCAATCAGCATTAATGAGCACGGGGCGTGGTCGCTGATCTGCACACGTGCAAACATTTAAATGTGTAGACACTGCTGCAGTGCTGGCATTAGCTGGATGTTCACTGACACAGCAAAGCACTGTCTGCAGCTCTGCTCTGTACGAAAACGGTTGTTTTGCTGAGTGGTAATTGCAAGATATGTGTACATCTTGAGGAGGAGGGAATCAGCTTTTCTCGTCATACACAGGCTAAAATGCTCCCGGACGCATTTGGGTGCGCTGTGGCGAACAGGTATGGGGATCTTCTGGATGACGATGCTGACCCCTTCGACTCAATAACTAAAGCAGAAATCGAGAAGGCCAACAAGAAAAAGAAGGACAACGAGGAGAAGAAAGCCAAGCCGAAAAAACCTGGGCAGAAGGAGTCCCAGAAGGACAGACGCGTCTCTGTTGCTCCGGAGGGCCCCGACCCGGCTCCAGGTTAGCTAAACTCCTGTCTGCATTATCACCAAACAGGCCCAAATCCTTAGAGAGCTGCTGGTATTTCTACCTCGGATAGTCCAGCCTAGACTGGGCGGTTTGCTTGGCTTTGTCAGCTACTGATGTTGCAATGACAGTGGGGGTTGAGCACATGTTCATGCTGTCAGGCTGGGTTTCAACTTGGTATCTAAAGTTGGTATCTTTTTTTTGTTAGTTGTGTAGCACATTTTAAACCGTATACATATGCATACTTTATATGTGGTATGTTAGTCAGTCAACAACTGATTTCGTTGCAAAAAACTTGTTTGGTTAAGTGCAATTATTCCCTTCAACTGAACTCTCTTGGTATTGTTTGTTTCCCTTTTTTGCATGACATCAGACCCTCCTTTCCTTTTTGTAGAATGGCAGTTTGAGTGAGTTTTAAGCAGTATAAATGTCTTTAAATCAGGACTAAGAACTTACTGGAAGATTAAAACACACACACTGTAATATGTTTTTGTTTTGATTAGTGGTTCAAAAAAGGCAATTTACTCCATTTGCCTGATCAACTCTTTGGTTATTGAGGTTCTTCATAGACTTTTCAACAAAAGAAAGTGATAACGGTAACACAATTGAACAGCACACTATCTCACTTTCTCTTCCTCAGTCCGTAAGCAGCCGCTGCAGCAGCAGCAGCAGCCCCCACAGCAAGGACGTCCTGGACCAGTAACTGAGAGTGGGTATGGTCGAGGGGAGTCCCAGAGGAACACAAAGAGGCCTGCTTTTGGGGAGCGCAGGGCCAACCAAGACGAGTACCCACAGGATTTTTCCATCCCCAAGTATGTATTCTCCAACTGAGGCTTTAACTCAACTCTCCATAGTGGTTTCTTCTCGCATCTTCTGTTTTACAGGACCACTGCTGTTAAAAAAATGTACAAATGATGTCCCTCAAGTGCATGCATTAATCAGATGAAGGGACATTTTTTTTATCTGATTTTTCTCCTTGCTAAGTAAAGATTGAAAGAGGAAATTATGTGATTCTTCAAAAAACTAAATGAGTAATGAAAAGCACCCTTGTTTTATTCAAAACACTAATGTCACTAAAGTCAAAGGAGTGACTTGTGTTTTGTTTCGAATGATCCCCAGGCCTTACTATAATACAGAGTCCGATCAAGGGGGCTTCAGAGGTAGAAGAGAAGGGAGAGGTGGTGGTGGTGGAGGAGGAGGGTATGCGAGGATCTCCGAGAACTTCAACCCGAGGGGCAAGAGAGGTTATGATCGACACAGCGGAACGTAAGCCTCTTTGTTCATGCAGCAGTTTACTCCAGTACAGCTTATTGGTGGTATTTAGTTTTTAACCTGCTTTGCAGAGGTATCTCTCCTGAGGAAAAGCGAGGAGGCAGAGGACCCTGGAACTGGGGCAGTGCTGAAGAAAATACAGGGTACGTGACATGTCATTAACATGAAAAATATCAACAGTCTTGTGCACAATTTGGATATCTTTATGTTTGTCGTATCTCATTTCTGAAGTGAATTAATGGAGGTTACCCCTGATGCTTTGAACAAATCTGAGGATAAGATTCCTGCTGAGGATGATGATCAGTATCGGTGAGTAAAGCACACAGAAACACCTTACCTATGAATTAAATCTGTGCCACATTACCTGGTTTAGTGGCTTATTTAACAGTCAATTGATACGGTTTACTCGGTTTATCATGCCTGTTGTGTTTTTGCATCGATAAATTAAAGGCAGTAATTGATGGTTAGACAAAATTAAAACGTGTTTAACTTGGCAGTTGGATTTTTTGCAATTAGAATCACACACATAATTCATCACATGTTTGACTTTTTCGCTTGAAAGTTGCTTTTCTGCTTCACCAGTGCTATACATGTTAAATTTGACTCGCATTCAAATGTGTTAAAGTAAAGCCAGGTTAATGAAAAGTGTGTTTATGGAGAAAACTAAGTAATCTGCCATCTTCTTATTTTGTAGATACATTCTTAGTTCTCAGGTTCAGCAACAAGGTGATCAAATAATAACAAATGCCAGTAAAATAAAATTCCCTGTTAATTTCTTTCAAGAGAAAGCCTGTATTTGGCAATGTTTATTTAAATGTAAAGGTGTCAAAATAAAGTAGATTGACAGATGTAGTTTGTTCCAAATTGTAGCGCAGAAGAGGATGGAGAGATGGTGGTCCATGTTGCCGTGGAGATGACCCTGGACGAGTGGAAGGCGCTGCAGGCGACAAGTCGTCCCAAGGCAGACTTTAATATCCGCAAAGCAGAGGATCAGATTCCCACCAAAGCCAAGGTCATCCACAAGTCAAAGAAGGTGGAGGTGAGAGTGTAACGCACTTAATAGGATCTGTTGGAAGAAAACCCAAAGCCTGATCAGGACTGACTAGACTGATCAAACAACATTGTATGCTTCATCATCTAGCAGTAACCTTCCGTTGTAAAAATGAACACTCAAAGAAAACCTAGACCGAGCATTCACACCATTTAGCTGTTGTGTTGTTCATGTCAATTTTAAAGGTTTTGGACATATACCGTTTGTCTCCAACCTTTAGATCATAAAGGAGGGGATCCTTGAAGAAGTGGAGGATGACAGCCACTTCCTGCGTAGGTCCATGAATGACATCACCTCCCTTCTGGACATCAATTTCGGGAGTCTTGGACGTCCCAGTCGTGGGGGTCGAGGAAGGGGAGCACGAGGTGGTCCGGCTACTCGCCCAGAGAGAGCTAAACCCGTGTTTGAGAGGGTATGTCCTCGACTCTTTATTTTGCTTAATTTAGAATCTTAAGACACAAAATGCAGGATACCTCAGTGGAAGAGCACAGGCACACCATTTTATAAAATATGCTTTAAGCAACTAAACGTTCTTTAAATAACTAAACATTTCGATGTCTTAGATTATTCAGTACATTTTATGGGGGCTAATGGTAAGACCGTTTTTTTATATGTAGATGCTCTATTTATTTAGTTGGTTTATTTTTTTGACTTTAACAACTGGCAATTATAAGTCAATATGCTGACATGTGGAGATCAAATATGTAAACATTAGCAATCTTTTGACATTATTTTTTGTATTTACTAAATGTCATTCATGTGTGCGATTTTTGTTCTCCCACTAGGAGGAGGACTCGGCTCCTAACCCCGATGACCCAGAAGACTTCCCAGCACTGTGTGCAGGAAAATAACTGAGTTCACTTCTCCTGTGGGGAATAGTGGTTGCACTTAACAATGTTAAAAAAAGAACATTTAATGTCTCTACTGTTCTTAAGGTTGGGGTTTTATTGTACTGGATTTATTTTGTTCTGTTGCACTGTTCGGCATTTGGAGAATAAATGCTTTTGCAAGTTTATCTTGGAGCTGCTTTTTATTTTAGAATGCCACGCTGGGATTACTTGAAATGTGAGAGGTTTGGGTAAATGGACCTGTGATGTATTTTGTAAAATCAGCTTAACAGAATAGTGTTACTGTGACTTGGCATTTAAAAAAAAAAAAAAAGAGCAACAACAATCAACTTGAAACTGTTTAATGCATCTTGTTATAAGCATTTGCTACAAAGACTAAAAGCCAGTACAGTTTCATTTGAAAAGTCTGATTCTATAGTATGTGCATTAAGCTAATGTTCTCAGTGGATTATGAACATGAGTTGGACAAAGCCTCGTTAGGACTATACACTTATTTCATAGCATACACTTATTTCATAGCATACACTTATTTCATAGCATACACTTATTTCATAGCATACACTTATTTCATAGCATGATTTAAACATAGTACAAAATATTTTAAAAATACAAACCGAGTATATCAAATTGACAGTCTTATTTACAGTCTTGAAATACAATAGCTGAAGATATGGAGAGTGGAGGTACAGATGAGCACAGTATTGTATCTTGTGATGGACTTTGTTCTACCACCTGTATACTGTCTTCTAGGACCAAGAGCAGGTTTTTAGGCCGTACTCCTAGAAAAATCTACATATCCCATTTTTGAAGTAGAAAAGGTGCTGCACAGTGCTCATTTGGGATATCTTTTAGATTCACATGCTAGTTTGCTACAGCATGCTTCAATAAGTAGGAACAACCAGGCAATGATTATAAATCTGTATGTATTGATGCTTTGTAAAAAATATAAAACAAAAGTGCCTTACGGGTAAAAACAACTTGTAATAAAAGTCTATAAAATGATTTACATGTCACATCCAGTTGGTAAATGTTTGTTTCAAACTTAATTAAAATGCTAGTACAGCTGTGTAGAGGTTGGATTTCATGTGAAGTTCCTCAGTGTTTCCAGATCGGCTCACCGCAGCAGAGGAGCTCTAGCTTTGGGTATGGAATGACTAAAGAAAACAAAGAAAGTCAGTGTTAATGGAAGGAAAAATATCATTAATTTACATTTCACTATTCAAACAACCGATTTAAAGAGGACCCATCATGCAAAATGCACTTTTGTACATCTTTTATACATGAATATGTGTCCCCGGTGTTCCAGGGAACTCACCAAGTGTCAGAAAACACAACCCTCTCTATTTTCCTCCATACCCAAATCTCTAAAAAAGGGGCTGCAACGGATCTGATCAAAACTGATCCAGATTTGAACACTTTACTGACGTCAGGACGGTGGCGCTACGGCTATTGGGCCAACTCCACCCATCAGGAGGAGACAGCCACGGACATTGCCGTTCGAAAGCGCTGGAGACGCTGTAGTACATATGCCAGGCCTGTAGATGGTGCTGTTCTCACTGAACCTGCCCTTACAAACAGCTAAAAAATGTCAAAATGAGGCATGGCTAAAATGCATGATCTGTTTGGTATTTTGCAAAAAAAAGTATAAATATGCCTTATATAGGTATGGTCCTACACTATATTATTCAAATATAGCATGATAGGTCCACTTTAAATGTATTTAGTTCATGCATGTGTTCGCACAAAGATCATAAATTGATATTACATTTAATAACAACCGAACGTGAAGAAAAGATATATACCATAACCTGGATAATCGAATTGATTGCAAAGAGCTGCGAGCTTTACATCCTCTGGAGACAGTGTGTCTGTTGTGTGTAAGAGATATAAAAGAGGGAAAAATAAAGGATATAAACAGATTAGCACCAGTAATGAATGCAGTCATGACTACAGAGAGGAGGCAGAGTCCAGAGAAGCTATAGCCAGTCATAGAAGGAAAGCGGCTGCTCTCAGAGAACGAAAGAAAGCGGAAAAAGGCAGCAGGGAGACTGAGGCGGTGGAGTTTCATTTGGCAACCTGACAGCGGTGCATAAGCAGGGTCAGATTTACTAAACATTAGACCTTCACAGGCTTCACTCTGTCAGGCTGCACATAATGTTAGTACAACAGCTGAGTGAAGAAGAACCGTGGCTGGGCTGCACCGCCATGGTTTAAGTTAAGATTACAAAAAAAACGGTTTAACTGTAATTTAATTTGACATGTTGGATGAAAGATCTATGGCTGGCAGGAACAGAGATTACACCAATTAAAAGTACAAAAAAACTAAAACATGGAAGTTGGAAAATAGCAATAAAAACTCATCTCATGTGGAGATAATCAGTGGTTTGCTCCACTTTGTTATTTTAGGTTTTATGCTGGCTAAATAACTGACTCAAAGGTTTCCATGATTTAGCAGGAAACCCCCTAAAGCAAATAAACTCAGCAATTTAAGTTAATCAGACCAGTTGTATCTTATTTCTGTTTCTTTAAGGAACAGTCCTTTTTCATCCCAACTGTCAGAAAATCAAGATTCAATTTAGATCTAACTTCTGAATGAAAGTCATCGGTGGATTAACCACAATTTGTTTTTGTTTAAACCAATTTAACTCGTTTGTGCATCCCAGCCTAAGTGATTATTATCAAGAGGAGAAAGAAGAAGAGTGCAGAGACTGAATTTTGGCTGGATTTACACAAGCACCAGTGAAATTATCTGTAAAATCTGATCATCCTTTGGTGGCCAAAACTTTGGAGAAACCATTTACATATGACTTTCCCTGTTTCAGACAGCAGAGAGGAAATATCTTCATAGAAAAGTGAACATGTGTTTGTGGCCCAGGGTGGGTTTGAGAGAGCTTGCCTGCGGGTGGACCTGTGCCATGTTTAAGTTGATGAGAGGGCCTGTGTTGGCCGTAGCACTGGCTGTGTCTCTATGGCTGCCACATGGCTCCCAACACATGGGGTCCCTGTCTCCAGACACTACATGCAAGTTTCCTAGAGACCTGACCAGCCTGGTGTGGCTCAGGGAGCTGGCAGAGAGAAGGAAGTGTTAATTTCCTCCATAAGGACCCACGAGTGGCTATAGCCTCTTGGCTGCTTTAAAAATAAAAATCAACTTCACATAAAACATCAAAAATATATTCAAGTATTACATATTGCATTAACACAACACTTCCCTGAGTAAGGAAATAAATGGCAAATATGAAGTATTTAAAGTCCACATTGAGGGCTGAATAATTTATATGCAACTTGCTGATTCAAAAAAACAATTGTAACTCAAGATCAAATCATCTCTTTCTAAGTTTAAAAGCTTGATCAGTTTTCCTTATCATCACATGACCAGTTCTACACATGATGGTCTCATGACCACATATCTGCCATCTCAATGAAAACTGAGTATACTCCATTCATTCACAAAGACTGAGTGAAAAACAGCTGAGATTTACACGATAAATATAATAAGTGGAACTTAAGCCAGTTCTAGTTCACATTTAAATGTAGAGACACAAAAAGGCATCCAGTGTCTAATCTAGGTTTTATTTCACTTGCTAAATCCAAGATTTTTTATATGGTATATAAATGAAAATATAAGGGGTGAATGTGCCACTGACCTTCCTCCGCTGGCGGGCAGTGAGGATCTGGTCCTCTTCCTGCTGTCTGATTGGTCAGACAGAGCCAATGGGTTGCTGCCCTGAACACTGGCCTGCAATATGACCCTGCTGCAGAAGAGACATGTGATTAATTAGTCTGAGCCACTGTATGTCAGAGCGTAGATATGCATGTTGTGTGTACACTGCAAAATCTACCTTAGGGACTGTGATGATGACCTGGTGTGAATCTTATTCTCTTCTTGTCTGTGAAAACACAAGTAACACAACAGTAAAACATGTGATTCAACTTATTCATTGAGAGATCTTAGAAAGATGACAGGACAGCGTGGAGGCAGAGAAGTAAAATACTGTATGTAGATGAGCAAGGAGGTTTTGAAGATATTGATAGTGCCCACTGCTCCTAGTACTAGACTCCTGGTACTAGGATGGGTTAAATGCAGAGGCCAAATTTCACTGTGTGTGCTGTGCATGTGTGACCATTAAAGAGGGGTTTGATCCCTCCGATTCTATTCTATTCTACGGCCTGTGCACAGATCATTACAGCAGCCTTAGCAGCCAGATATGATTATTAAAGCCAAGTCATACCAGGAGAAGCCAGCAGGTGACGCTAAACAACTTAAAAGGAGACTTGATTTGCCTTTTCAGTTTTCATTTTCATCAAGAAAGCTTAACTGTCTGGCAGGATTACATTTGAACAGTTAGCACTCAAGTCAACACAATAACCAGCCAAGCATGATGTTTAAAATGACATGATGATGGACAAAGTAAGACAAAATCATTATGTACAGAAAAAGGTCACAATGACAAGACAGTAGCCTCTGATGTTTTAGATTTTAAATAACTGGCTCTGCTCATCAGCTTTAAGTTTACTGTACTTGCAAAAGCAATAAAGAGGATCATTTTGAACAACTTTCTGATTTGGGTTGGGAGTTTAAAAAAAGAGACTGGGGCTCACTTACAGCATTCTCAGTTAGAGCTCCAGAAGGGGGGCAGGACAGGTTTTTGGGGGCTGACGGGCGGTAGAACTCATTGAAATCCTAACCCGTCTATACAGAAATGCAGGATGGAAGAAGGGAAGCCATACACAATCCACCACAGGGCAAGGCTACACAGGGAGGAGAGCAGCATGGCTACCAGCCATCTGAAAGGAGGACAAATCCAACAACAAGAGCAAACGGAAAAAAGGGGAAATAAAAGGAAGGAGAGACAAGAGACGTCCGGGCGGGACACAAAGCCTTTGATGTTCTGCTTTTCCACTGAGACTGGATTAGATGAACTACCTTTCAAAGAGCCTTGCATCCAACTAGCCAGTCAGCAAGTTCTTCTTCTTCACTTGCTCTGATGTGTAAGCACTTTGCTTTAAACTTTACACTCAACTCATGTGAGAATTTCGAAGTAGATGAAACCTTTTGAGAGCTTTTAAAAACAGCCATACAATTATTTTAAAAGCTTTTGAAAAATATATAATATGTAGTGGTTATTCTACAGTTGGAACTCACAGCATTTGTAAGATAACATTA